CACAACCCTCCAGCCTAAACAATATTGCACCATATTTTAAAAAAAGACCCAAGCCTACTCAAAATACTGCACGGGACCATACTTTGTCCGACGTTCGACACAGTTCTGCTCTATATTATGTTCATGTCTGAAGTTATCAGCTCTTACAACTGATTACAGGCACTTTTGTTATTCAATTTTTGACAATGAAATGATATTGGGGGCGTCAAACCTCGATTAAGTTACCTTTGGAAGTGCACAATCCTATCATCAGTCTGTTGGAAACGTCCTATAGCTCAAGTATCATTCTCAGCAAGATAAAGGCATAGCAACAGACCCGACACAATACGACCCTATTGCACACGTCAAAGATCAATGTAAAGTATAACACGCACACAAATCATAAAGGTGATTACCGAGCATGTCTAGTGGTACATCGTCGGTCTCCAACTCTAACCAAGTATCTACCAAATTAAGGTTAATCATGTGTTTCTTTCTGTTAATTCATGTTATTCAAACCTGTAATTTTTGTTGTTGTTGGTTTTTTTGGGGGGGTAAATGGTTTTACGGCAGTCGCAACTGCATCAGGTCATAAGAGCGTGCGAGACACCTTGAACATTTTCAGTTGGTAGTAAATTTTGAATTTTGCACGGGTGGCGGCCGAAGCCACTCTTATTGATTTTAGACCATCAAGGGATCTATAACGTGCGAAACTTGCACACGGGACCTTCGATATTTTTCGCCCTTGTCCGAGAAGGATAGGTGTAGATCTTTCCTACCAGAAGATCAGGGGTGTGGCTGAAAGAGAGCAGTAAGAAGGGGCCACCAAGTACATTGTAGCAGTAAAAAGGCTGCAGAAAGAGGCTGGAGCCCAGAGGAGAGGGCAAAGGGGGTGCGGGGTGGGGCCGGGGCAAAACGTGGAGACGAAAGCAGACGACAGAACTTTGTTAGAGGGCAGGAAAGGAGGTGAAAGGAGACAATTTTAGAGAATATAATTGTTCCGTCGCTACCCGGATTCGAACCCAGGACCTTTGAATGAGAGGCAAACACCAAGAGAGCCCCCTAAACCTGTAATTAAGATAGGGGGTACCAATTATAAGGTGAAGAAGAACAGTCAACTAAAGAATAATTTTTGAACGATTCCGGTGGACAACATGAAAGAAAAAATGTATAATAAAAAATCATATACATTTTTAGATAATCTTTTATCAAAATCGGTGTTCATTCACATTAGCGTTTACAGTCGGACACAAACGATATAATAGAGCTATACAAAACAGTTGTTCGCAGTGAGTAGGCGGTGTTAAAAAACAATAGATTGGATAACAGCGTTTGCGCGGTTATGGCCTACTTACATATCATGTACGCTTAGGTAATTTCAGTGAGGGATCTGGGTTGTGGATAATCGGCATTTCATTGTTGATGCTGCTTTGAGCAAGTAGAAGTTAGCAGCTAACAATTCAAAATGTTGGGGTGTGCCAAGGATTTGGTGATGCTTCTGACCGCTCTGGCGTCATCTCTTGTGTCCAGTGCGCCGTCCGGTGACCAGATAAAACACCTTCCTGGCCTCGCCCAGCAGCCAAAGTTTAAACAGTACTCCGGCTTCCTCGATGGTTTGGGGACCAAAAAGCTGCATTATTGGTGAGTTACGTAGATTATTGTTTTCTTTAATCTGCGTGTTTCTTTTTTACGCCCCCTTCGACACAATTTAGATAATTTAAGAGAACGAGATGAGAACCGGGCTCGGGTCTTTTATGTGCAACAATCAAGTGCCTGAGTTGTATAGAAATAGATATCTACCCCCCCCCCCCAAACAAAAAAAGCAATAACAAAATAAAGAAAAAAATATAAAAAAGAAAAGACCAGCCTAGAACAACAATTTTTGGGTGAAAATCAAAGTGAACGTTTCAATTCAGGAATATGTTTAATGCAGCATAAGACTTTGTATTGTAATTGTTTTGTAAAACTACTCTCGCTTTCTCGACGGTTATGGGACCAAATAGCTACACAATGGGTGAGTTCATTTATTACCAGCATTTAACTTCACTATCGGCACAAATGCGTGTGGTTAGAGGATGCCACTGCTAGCGCAAAATCCTATTTCTTTTCTTTCCTTTGTTATTATTTCTGAGATCATAAATCGTTTTCTTCAGACTTCTCTCTTGGTTTCAGCATTTTTAAAAAATTGTTATGCCTTACATGACTTATACCACTGTGACTACTATTCTCCAACTGGGTCTGTCAGGAGCTAGGCTCTTTCATATCGACAGATTTATGTTAAAATTGTCCAAACTACTTTCAGTGGGTCTCTGTAGCGAATTTGGTAAGCTAACCTTACGTTTCTCTTCCTTTTCCATTGACATAACACGAAAGGATATACACGTATTGTCAAACCGGAGGAACCTAGTGGAGACGATTGTGGAAAAGAACAGTGACCCTGTCCTCTCAAGCTGTAGCGAACGGTGTTTTTGTCATGTTAGGATTCAGGTTTACACAGCAAATTTTTTTTTTGTCGGGAGAAAGGAAGTCAGTCAGTTCGTTTCCGGCGGCTGTATCCACCAATCAACTGGTAGTTTGGAAACGACCCGACTAGACCTAGACCATACTTATTTCTCTGATGTGTTCCCTAGACTAATGTCTAGGGGCGGTTCTTCCACAGACTATAGAGCACTGTCGTGCGGTGTGGCCCAACATTATTTTTATGTTCCAGATCTTTAGCGCAATGCACACACAAAGAGAAAATAAAAGAATCCCGCTAAAAGCACAAAACAAATCGTTTATCCAAACAAGGTCCTTGCTGGTTTATTAACGGCCATAAAAGGCCGTACATATTACCAATTAATGCCCAAGTCAAGGCGCTTTAACTAAACATAATAAGATGTTCAGCAGTTCTAATCAGACCTCTATAAATCTCTCTTTGGGCTGGCCCATGCGATGACGACCCTCGTAGGGAGTTTGGCCGTAGACTCTACATTAATATTAATACGGGGGCACATCTCAAAATATGTGCTCTTGGCGATTTGTGCCGAAACAAAATCCACAGTAGGCAGTCTAAAAATAAACACAATAAGACTGTACACTTTATGCCCATAAAATGTGAGTCGTGGAGCAATCCAGCGGAGTGCTCAAGTGAATTGCGATTGGTTCATTGTCTTGCCACTATTTCCAAATTCAGGTCTTGCTCCGACATGCTGTGACCGTGAATTTGAGCGGGGTGAGCGTGGCATAGTTAGTTAGGTCAGGGTCACTTTTTGTTGAGTTGTGCCTTCGAACGGTGTTTTAGCGGAGTGGTGAAAGTGTTTCTACTCCAGTGTTCAGTGAACGAAACTGATTTTTAGCTAACAAATCTGTCTGCCTCCCTGAATATCAGTCGTAAGACGCACTGTGAAATTATCAGCTACGAGGGTAGAAAGGAAAAAAAAGGAATTTTCAATGAATTTTTTTGTGGATAGAATATTGACAGTTTGATGTCTTCTGCTTCATTGAAGGTTAAAATAAAAAACTATAATCGACTATAAATATTTTATTTTGATTTATTTTGGAGGTGTGTGTGGTTTGTTGTGAGCTTGGGTGACGAGATAAAGGAATTTGAACCTTGCTACTGTGTCGCTGTACGATTATTTTTAGAACCATTACCTCATTGCCACCTTTGCTTCAACCAAAGATTCTCCACTAGTGGAAAATCTTCGCTCCAACGTTCTTCATTCGCAACTATTTTTAGATTTTGACCCCTTTTCGGGCATGAATGAAAGGTCTGAAATGTAAACAACTCTGATTGGTAAAACGGAGTAAAAACGGTAACTTGTAGCTCACGTCAATCTTGGTTACGTAAACAGCTGACTGTGTGGGCGTGCCCTGCTAGCTGCTGTCGTCTGTTGATCTTTCAGTTTTACACTTGGATTGACTTTTTAAAAATCGTTTTTATTGTGCTTTAGAGCTTTTAAAAGATTAATTAACCTTCCTCTAGATCTCTCAGAGCGGACTCCTTACCAAGAGGCTACCTAGGCGGTCTATGTGCATGTCTGTGTATGTGTGTTGGTGTTTTTGTATGTGTGTGTATGTGTGTGTGCTCTTCTGTGTTTATGGTGCTATTGTAAACGTATAATCAGGTAGCGTAAACATGGCACGTAAGCAGACACGCGGCCTTCCGAGCGCGTGGTTTCGGTGATCGTTTCTTTGCTCTTTTGCTATAAAACTCCAACTGCTGAACACTTAGAAAGAGTTCAGGTTTTCTTCGTTATAATAGTGTATGTTTTTTTGGTATATCCGGGTATTTGGAGCTGGAGAATCGCCGTGGAAATGGAAGCCCCTCGCAGTCGGAATGCGAGGTTTTTTTCCCAAGTTCAAAATTGACACGCATTCATTCGAATGCTTAGCAGAAAGATTGATGATTAAATACCGTCTTTTCACTGGCGGAGAACTATACAGCTTTGAGCGTGATTTCCCGGGGCTATTATTTTGGCCTTTGGCATTATGATAGAAAACCTTGAAGAAAGGGTCTAAGTTTTCAAAGATCAATTTTAATACGAAATGTGTAAAAAATAAAACCGGCTAAAAAAGGTACCAATAGAAAGAAGTTCTTTTTCTATTAGAATAGAGTCATCGACATGGAATTATTTTGCATGAATCTTTCTGCGAAACTACCCGGAGCACTCAGTACACTACAGTATTGAGCAGACTGGCTCGCCGCGAAGGCTGGTGCAACGCGTCCGGGGCAACGCTCGGTGTTTTAATTGAAATAACGACAGATCATCGTGTTTGAGGCAATAAAATACTGATTTGTAATGATCTCACAGTCTTCAAAAATATTATACTTCAGTTCTATGAAATAGTGATTGTACTCTTTTAATGTAAAGACGTTTGGTGCACTTGGTACTCTTTTACCATCGTCAAACATGGGGTTGCAGCTAGTTAACGACTTCAGCAATATTAAAATTTTATTATTATGTTAAATTGAAACAGCTGCCATTCTCTTGAACATTGACTGAGAGGTAAACGAATGGTACCAAAATTCTCAAGAGACATAGTCATTTCATATGAAACAGATGAATGTGACATACAGCTACTTTGAAAATTTAGTGTCTGGTACCTAGTATAATGTTAACATTTTGTTGCATTTCAAGTGAAGTTTCTTTCTCCTTAAAATTGTGTTCGACTCATAAGTTTTTGTTTTCTATATAAATGAATAGTTTTCTACTTTTGTATGTTACCTTGTGGTGGCATAGCCTAGATAACTGCTAACTTTCAAGTCTCTATCTCAATTCTAAGACCCCCCCCCCCCCCCATTGCTTTTGAAACATGTTGCTCAACTTCGGAGGCCATTTTCTCCTTTTCGTGTTTCCTCACCTCTCACAATTAAAAGTTCTGTATTTTCGTCAAATATTGTCATTTTAACTTCATTCTTGATTTAAATTGTAGGGAATGGGTGATAGTTTTTGAAAATAATGTTAACTCAGTTTTGAAACTTCCTTCATATGACTGATATTGACCTTCAGGGACACAAATATAGTGTTTAGTTCTAGCAATCAAAGCGACAAAAAAAACCCGAATGAAATTAAAAGCATTAGGTCCTCACCAACCCAAAAATATTAAAATTATACATATATACACCATCACATTTACTATGGTCTTGTCTATCTCCAACCTGCAACTTTAAAATTGTGCACCTTGACTTTTTATTCCTACTTCCATCTTTTTTTTACAACCGTTCTCTTTAAATCCAAAGTAAGACCGGACTGAGTAACAAATAATGCGCTAGGTAGTAAGGAAGACATTTACCCGACAGGCCAGTCAGAGATACCATTTGTCACAAATCTTTATTCAAAAGTTAAAACGTGTGCATTCACTGCATGGGAAAACAAAATACAAAGCTAGAAAGAGAGTCTTTTAATTGTTTGTTCCGTTCCATTGACGTGAAAAATAATATCTCGTGCGTTGCTTTTGGTTGGGTAAAGCTATATCAGCAAATTTGCAAGTGAAACGACCGACGAAACGAAGTCTACAGGGCACTGCGTCCTCGGTATGGGGTTATAAACAGACAATTAATGAATTGGTTTTTAATCAAAACCATTTGTTAAAAAAAAAAGAGAAACAGCTGTGGTCCCATACAATTGGCATGTTCAAAACAGCCGTAGATGAAAAGAACAACATTATGTTTCTCAATAAAAGCAGGACAATAACTGTTCAGTACCTTTACTTAGCTTTAGTTTTTCGTTTAGTCAGAGTTTGATGGCACATAAATAGGTTACTCACACACTTACTCACACACACACACACACACTCTCTCTCTCTCTTTCTCTCTCTCTCACACACACACACACATACACACACACGCACACACACACTGATACACACTTAAATTATATTGCACTAGCTGGGTACCCCGTTCGATGTACGAACTTAATCGTCAAGTCATTGTGGGTTAAGTGCACACAACCTGTAAACGGGAGTCTTGAAATAATGTACTAAGAGGCAAGTGTATGATTTGTATGCCGAGGAGACCGACAGAACTCAGAGTGCAAGGAAAGTTTCTTATAGGTCATTTGCTCGCCTATGGCAGCAACTTCTCCCTTTCATCACAAACCTCAAGCCTGCGACAGACTTATGTTGGTACTGTCAGCAGAGGTCTGTTCAGCAGCAGCGATGTGTGAATCTCCCTTTAGAGAAAAAAAGTCAAGCTGCTAGAGAAAATTTATGCTCCGTCACTTAGAGGACGCTAAAGCAGAAAGATCCCTCTACAACTCAGCAATAGAGGAAGCTAGAAGAGATATGCCCCCAGACATGCTTTTGAAGGTAAAAGACTGTGTGAATTCATCAATGTGTGCGAGGGTAAGCTTTGTGGGATTGTCTTTACTGGAGAAATTTTCTGTACTGGAGAGAGAGACAGAGAGACAGAGAGACAGAGAGAGACTGGTGAGAGAAAAAGAGAGAAAGAGGATTACTATAGGAGCAGTGCGCTTCATACGTTCTTGTATTATTGTACAGCGCATTGAGCACTTCCTTGTGGAGATGCGCTATATAAATTCAATTTATTATTATACTACTTGATTATAATAATACTTCCCCTGATCTCCAAAGAAATCTTCTGTTGTTTTTTGTGATCTTGTTATGAATGTTTGTTGTGATTGTTTACTTTGATTAATTTTAAAATCCCATTTGAGTACTAAATAAATTTCAACCTCATTTGCAGACAGGACATCTGATCAATCTCCGATAGTGTGATAGAACACGCTTGTGAGCCTTGGAAAACCTCCAAACAATAGGGAGGATCCTTCGAAGGATTTGAACCCCAATGGCTTAAACATAAAGTAACTGGTATGCCCATGCTTATTTAGTTGAGACAAAAGCATGTAGCCTCACAATTCTTACAACACAGACCTAGTCTGAGATCATACACAGCAGTATGTACGTTAACATTCACTCCGATATAAGAGTTTTAAAAATGTTTAAAAAAATACTTATTAGGTCTATATAAAAAATGACCAGCAGAGATAAAATAATGATAATTTAGTTTTAAACTGTTCATTTCAAATCAATAACTTTATTGACTCTACTGAAAAAAACCCTCTTCTTGTAGATTTCTGTTGAATGTGCGGTAAGCGTTTGGATAGACGCAATGCGGGCCTGGATTCTGCAAACTACTATTTTACAACAAGTAGATGAAAATGGTACTATGTTTCAACAAATTCACCCAGAATCTCAAAAATTTGCATTGCAAATGAAAGGAGAAGTGTTGAAGGACCATAAGACATAGGATAATATCTGTATGAAGTAAGACACACGTATATTTGAAGCAGAAACAAAGGTGAAACTTTAGAGCCGTTTTTCTCAAAACTTTGTTTCCGTACCCTGCCTTACAAAATCACCCATATCTCAAAAACTACTGAAGATATCTTCAAAATTTAAAAAGCACATTGTTCAGAAATGAATTCTGTACAAGAAAATGCCAAAAAACGGGATTTTTCAAAATGCGACATGTGGTCCCTTTCACCAGGCACACACACATATGTCTTGAACACTGCATTCAACTGCATATGCTAGAACTCTGTGTGAACGAAACAAAGCATTTTGAAAAAATTGGGGAAAGCAGTTTGCGTGGATTTTTCAAAGTTAGGTCCTAGCCACATGGATGCTGTGGACGGCCGCAAAGTTTCAAAGGTGTGGGTTGGGTAATAAGGGAGGAGTTTGTGCACAAAGCCTCCCAAGTACACTTTATATATATATATATATATATATATATATATATATATATATATATATATATATATATATATATATATATATATATATATAGATAATTATTTCAATTTAAATAAGTCTAAATGATTGGAAATGTTACTAGAGAGTAACATACCCCCCCCAAAAAAAAAGGGGGGGGGGGGGAGGTTCAGACAACAGATGTTTATAAGGGGGAAAGGGAGCTTACCACACCAGAGCATCTGATGCAAACGCAGATATTTATGGTAAAAGAGGAAAACAAAGGGGGAAAACAATGATTCACTTTTTCTTTACCCCTCAGGTTTGTGGAGTCTCAGAATGACCCGGCTAACGACCCACTTGTGCTGTGGCTTAACGGAGGTCCCGGCTGTAGCTCTCTGATTGGTCTGCTCACGGAGAACGGTCCGTTTACCGTACAGCCGGACGGCAAAACGCTACAGCCAAACCCTTTCAGCTGGAACACTTTGACCAATGTTCTCTACTTAGAGGCCCCAGCCGGGGTGGGCTACTCCTACTCCAAGGACAAAAACTATACCACAAACGACGACGACACTTCTTTGAATAACCTGGTGGCCATGATCGGTTTCTTCAAGAAGTTCCCGGAATACCACAAGAACGATTTTTATATCACTGGTGAGAGTTATGGAGGAATCTACGTGCCGACATTGGCGTATAGAGTGGCTTTGAACAAATCCATGAATCTAAAAGGATTTGCAGTTGGCAACGGGGTTACTGATAACAAGATGGGTTTTAACTCTTTTGTTCATCTCTCCTACTATCATGGTATGGTAGGGCCTGAAATTTGGGCAAAGGCTCTGCAAGATTGTTGCAAGGATATTCCTATCGACAAGTGTGATTTTCAAGAACAAAAGAAGCACTCGAAGTGTCACGAAGACGTCTATCAAATCTTCGGGGCACTTTCCGAGAGCGGGATAAACCCGTACAACATATATGCTGATTGTGCGGGCGGCGTGACACAAATGAATCAGCTAATCAAAAAGTCGAGACCGGCAGGGTGGCCACTTCTCAGTGAGATGGACATTACTACAGTCGACAGCGGCATACCTTGCGAGAACGACACAGCACTAATTACCTACATGAACACGCCTGACGTGCGGGAAGCTCTCCACATCCCGTCAACTCTTCCAGATTGGGATGTTTGCAGCAACTTGGATTATACACCTCTATATAAAACGATGAAGACCTTCTACAAGAAGCTGACTGTCTCCGGAGAGTTTCGCGTCATGGTATACAACGGAGACGCAGATATGATGTGCAATTATCTCGGAGACGAGTGGTTTGTGGACTCGTTGGGGCTCGGCAGAGTCGGTTACCGGAAGCGTTGGTTGTACACTGCGGCGGACGGCACACAGCAGGCTGGTGGCTTTAGACAGGACTACAAATCTAACGTCCGTTATCTCACTGTGCTGGGCGCAGGTCATATGGTACCAACAGACCGACCAAGACAGGCCCTGGAAATGTTTGTAAGCTATATAAAAAACAACTGAATTAGTTTTTGGATACCGTCGACCTTCTTGGAAAGACGTTGCAAAAAGTAGACGTCATTTGGCCTGTCATCTCAATAATATCGCATTACGTCGGCAAGCTATTCAACTTTTCTTACCCTAATATTCTAAAATTTTAGAAAATTGCAGTTTCTTAATCAATTGTATTGTTTAAATGAGCTAGAGAAACGTTTTCTAAAAAGCAGGAAAAAGTAGCCTACATAGTGTAGGTACCATTCTTAATACTAAGAAACAATTTCAATCTATCTCGGAAAAAAAGGATGCTGTCTGGGCTTTTACAGTGGATGTCTCGCATTCAACGAGGTTGCCGGGACCGGCTAGTTGTCCTCGTTGGATCCTACCTCTCGTTGAACGTGACTAAGGCTAAAGTAAAGAAAGAAGACAAGTTGTATATTACACGATGTACCGATACCAGTAATTAAAACAGTTGTTCCCCCTGATGATTAAAAATCTCAAAAAAGCACAAGTGTGCGCGTGTTTGAGCTGTGTTCTGACTGTCATTTCTGAATTTAATAATTTTTTTCCGGAACATTTCTCATGAGGAAACACCCTCTCACTGCCTAGATCTAAATAAAGTAAAGGCGGGAGCTTGGATTTTCTGATCAGGGGAAGATAAGAAAATTGAAAAAAAACCTGAAGGTCTCGATCTACACCTACCCATCCAGAGTTCATCCAGTTTCGCACAGCCAGTATCGTGTTCCCACCCACCCCCTCCAATCCCTACCGTAGGCTAACCCTCGTCCATCCTCTTGGCTTTGGGGCCCATATTATGAGGCACACTAGGATCTAGCAATACACTGAGTTAGGAATCGAAGATGGGCCTTGTTCTTCGGGTGAGATGGAGAAAAAGGAGAAAAATTATTCGCTTTTGGGGCCGCTAATTGCTTTTATTTGGTTATCGCAACCTCGTTGAAGGCGACTTCAGTCTGTTTACAACCTCGTTGGAGCCGACGTACATTTACAAAAAGATATAGAGGAAAAAATCGGGGACTAAGGATTGCCTCGTTGGAGCCGACTTCTCGTCGAATGTGACCTCGTTTACTCACTGTATAACGATTTTTAAATTTTAGTAAGAGTTTAACGATACTTGCAACATAATAAGGTCATATAAGTGCCGAAGAATAGTTGTATTACAAGAGGGTAACATACATTAAAAAGGAGAGAAAAGATGATAGATGTTTGATTGGAAAGAAGGATTGAATAGCTTGCTCATGAAATAGCTTTCCAAACACATGAACATCATCAGTGTGCTGATACTGATAATAATAAACAAGAAACACTTTTCACTAGACCTAGTCCAGTTTTTATTTTAGTAATTTTTTCTCCTTTATTTCACATTAAATTTCATCTGACATCATGTGCAGTCTGTGTCAACTGGTAAAACTATTAATAGGTATAAGAAATAAAGACACAAAGGAGATAGATAGATAGATAGATAGATAGATAGATAGATAGATAGATAGATAGATAGATGGATAGATAGAGAGATAGATAGAGAGAGAGTGAGAGAGTGAAAGAGAGGAAGAAAGAAGGAGACGGAGAGAAAGAAGAAATAAATAATAGGGAACAAAGAGGGAACAAATGAGAGAAGGGCAGTTAGAAAGATAAAGGAAGAGACTGAGACAAAGAAGGAAGGAATGAGACATAGAAAAGGAAAGAGAAAGACAGAAAAAGAAAGAGAGACACGGAGAGAGATAGATAGATAGACAGATAGATAGATAGATAGATAGATAGATAGATAGATAGATAGATAGATAGATAGATAGATAGATAAAGAGAGAGAGAGAGAGAGAGAGAGAGAGAGAGAGAGAGAGAGAAAGAGAGAGGGAGAGGAAGAGAGAGAAAGAGGGGGGAGAAAGAGAAAGAGAGAGGTGGAGAAGAAAGAGAGGAATAGAGAGAGAGGGAGAGGGACAGAGAGAGAGAGAGAGAGAGAGAGAGAGAGAGAGAGAGAGAGAGAGAGAGAGAGAGAGAGAGAGAGAGAGAGTATGGGGGGGGGGGGGGGTTATTACCCATCTGGGCCAACATGGGTTGTTCTAATATCCGTGCAGAAAATTGGATTAGCTTGATAAGATACCATCCATAAACCTAGCATCTGCGTTTGTTGCCATTTCTTTGGTCCAAAATTTGTGCCAAGAGTTGGCATAAAAAATGGCAAAAGTTGCCATTAATGTTCAAACTTTCAACTCTTTGTGACGACGTATATAGCGATATGTTGATAGGGGTAACTTAATTCAAAGCACCAGAATTTCTTGAGCTCTGTTTTAAGCATCCAGAATTTGTAGCCACACAGAGTGTAAGTTAGTTTTAGTAAGGTATTACTACGCTCACAACTGCATAAGGTCATAAGAGCTCTAAGGGGTGGATGTCAACAGAGAAGTCCAAACGGGGAATCAGGCTTGCTCTGCTCACCTGTCTATCCCCAACAGTACAAAGTCGTCTGCTTCGACTATTAAGGCACCCAGGAAATAACAGTTCACAAGAGAATGACAAACCTACAAAAGAAGTAGAGGAAAAAATAACGATAGTAAGGATGAGGAAGGAAAAAGCAGCAGTTCCCCCTATGTTGTTCCGGCACAGTATGAGTTTGAGCATGACATTGATAAATCAGCCCATTTACAATTTTACTATGCATAAGAACAATTTATATACCCCCTTTGGGAATGGCCTAAAGACACTTCAGTCTGTAGCATAGAGTGTAAAAACGTGAAAAATAAAGGTTTCGCAACAGAATGAAATCAAAATTAGAACAGCACATAAACAACTACAAAAATTAACAAAAAAGGGCGTGTGTCCACCTATCCAAAGATGGATGTTTCAACCCTGAACATGTGTAACTCAAGTACAGGATATTACATGTAAATTATGGAATGACACCCACGGGGTCTGCCAGTGTCACTTTTCGGTTTTGGTGGAGACACGCTCTAACATAACCAAAGAGGTTATAAATTATAAGGTTATAATAGTAATAGAGGTCGCAGCTGTGACGTCACCCACGTAAACTAACTATGGGTGTGCGGGCCCACTCAGCTCGCTTTGTCGCCATTTTTGAGAGGATTAGAAACAGGGAGACAAAGTGAGTAGGGGAGTTTGTTAAGAAAAAGGACAATTTCATACTTACAAAATGGGTTGCTTTATGTCATGTTGTCTACACTCTCCTTCTACAGATGCAAAACCTAGCTTTTCATAGAATATGAAGGGGGTTAAGACTGGGTTAATTATTTAATATACTAATTCGGTAGTGTCTCAAAATGAGCACTTAATTGTAGGCTGGGATACGGTAAATCACTCATTTTATGGATCCAGGGCACACACCCAAAGAGCGTTGTTTAATATTGGGTACAAATAATTATATATATACTGACAACGTTTTAAATGCAACATTAAATAGCCGGTTTATCTTAAACGTTCACATTTTCTAAAATTGGCGGTGATTCAGATAGACTATGGTGTTCGGCTACAAAACACCCCATCTTCCATGAACCCCTGCTGCTGCTGTTGCACACAATATTATGCTCTTTGGCATCTATTCCGCAAATGAGACAGAATATTACGCCGGTCTTATTGGTGGAAAGTTACGCCTGGTTGGATACTTTATTATTCTCTCATCTCTACAACATCGACAGTGGTTCTTTTCCGTTCAGCCAGCCTTGAATGTGAGCTAGAGTTGCAGACGAAGCTTCCAGCAGCTTCTCAGTCACGTTCCTGATTCCAGAGGGCCGATACGAGCGCATTGTAGTGGCCAGCTGTGCTACATACTATTTGAGCGACGCACAGTAAAAGCAAACAAAATAACAAGATAAAGTAAAAGATTTCAATAAAATTATGTTTTTTATTTTAACAAGTGATCATCAAGCCCATTTCATTAATTAAAAAAAAATTTACTCACCCATGATCTCACCTTGTAAAAGACATTTTTGCATTATTTGGAGATTATCAGGCTCATCATGTAACGGTAAACAATCACCAAAAAAAAATCCCTATGAGTAAATTTTAGCCATAGCCAAATCACATGACAAAGAAATCAACGTCAAAAGATTCGCAGAGTATCATTAAACCGTAATAACGTAATTGAAAAGTGTCGCTGTGCACCGACTGGCCTTTTATTCCTCTCCGGAATGGCGGCACATCCCTCACGCTTGACACTCGTGACGTCACAGCTAAGACCTCTAGTTCTTTTTATAACCTCTTTCAACATAACACATTAAACAATTCATACATTAATAAAAATAGGAACAACATCAAATTAAATGACATTATGCTATATAAACACACACAAAAAAACACAACACATTAGACCAATAACAAGAACAAACCAAAGAGGGAAAAATAACAGAGAAACAGCAAAAGAGTAGTATTAATGTACTTAATTAAATTCTTCTCATGAAAATAAAAAATCAATGTGGTGTCAACAAGTCAACAAGTGAGAAAGAGACGAAGTGAAGCGAAAGTGAAAATAAACTTTCTTTCTAAAAGTAAAAAGGTTCGTTTCTTTTTTTTAAATGTCTATTCTACGGGGTTTTAATACATTTTTTAAAATTCCCCGGTGGTGGAGGGTTTTTTGGGTTGTATTTTTTTGCAAAAATTGCGGCCGCAGCCGCAACAAACGCAGAAGCTAGAGAAACTTTCTTTTTAGTGCAAGGCAAAAAGCGAGACTACTACTTCTACTACATGTACATCACATATGCTGATGATCCCAAGTAGAAACCTCGGAATTTACACAAAAATACTAGACATTCAGTATAAAATATAATGTGTCTGTCACAACTGTTCTCCTAATACCCCCCTCACTTGTTAAAAACTTAGCACTTGCATTCATTTGCATAGCCATTGATCATATAACGTTCAAAAAGACATCAAAGATGTTAATGGAAGCATTCAAAATGAGACGGTAACTTAGAGGATCATTTTAAAAAAATTAGAACATGCCAATAAACGGAAACATATGTGTACTATTATGTACATAAAATAACGTTACCATGTCTGTGGAGAAACTTTTTTTGTATAAAGAATATAACAATTAAAAAACTGAAAGCATAATAAAACTCATACAGTATAACTCGGATAGCTCGAATTCGTCGGGACCGGCCTCGGTAGTTCGAGGGATCCGTAGTTCGAGGGATACGTGAACAGTGTTATGACATCGGCTGTGTCTGAGAATCAAGGGAAGCAACAAAGATTGGGTCGGAACAGCGATTTTTCTTTTTTCGGCAATTGTCCTAGATCAGATAGGTTAGATCTAGACTATGCGTATTTACTTCAATTTGAAATTTGAGAGAATTTGAAATAGACAGATTGAGAATGAGAAACACGATGAGCAACGCTTTTGAGTTCGATCAGTAATG